GTTATTACCTTGGTCGGAGCTGTTCCAGTTATGAGCTTTGTAGCCAGCAAGGTGTGGTATATGGCAGCCAGTTGCTTCTCTATCAAGGGGTACCAGACCTCTGCTCCTTTCCATAATTGTGACCAGAATTCAATAGGTTGGCATGTCTGTTCAAGCTGCTGCCAAAGGCCCCATCCATAACCATCTTCAGTTACATGCACCTCTAGCTCACAGGGCCTTGATGAGTCTATTATGCTCAAGGCCTGTATGGCCTTGACTGCTCAGTTAGCAGCAGTAAAAGCAGCTGCACGCGTCTCATCCCAGTCCCACCTGATGCCCTTTCATACCAACCAGTATACGGGCTTCAGAATTTGTGCCAAATGAGGAATAAACACTCTTCAGTATCCCAAAAGACCCAAAAACTATTGTAAAACTGCCACAGTGGTAGGGGTATGAAAAGCCTGGACCTTGTCTTTGACTGCTTCTGGGATAACATTAGTTTTATCCAACCAGATAATCCCCAAGATTTTACAGACATACCAGTCCCTGAACCTTGGTGCTGTTCGCAGCCCATCCTTTTTCCTGTACATGCTGCAGCAGTTTAGGAACTGCCCCTTCTAAATCTGCAAGACAATCAGATGTGAGCATAATATCAATGTAGTGATACAACTGCACTATTTGCAGTTTCTTCCATGTGGACAAGTTCTGTGCTACAAGTCCATGTCAAATGGGGGGACCATGGAGGTATCCCTGTGGAAGGACACTGAATGTCCACTGCCGGCCTTCCCACATGAAGTCAAACTGTTCCTGACTTTCCTGTGCTATGTCAGTAGAGAAGAAAGCATTAGCAAAGTCCTCATCATAATGATGTGTTCCTAGTTCATGACTGAAGCTGTCCATAAAGGCTGCTATAAAGGAGACAACAGCATGCAAAGGGGCTGTGACTTTGTTCAATTCCCTGTAATAAACCACCACACGCCAAGAGCCCAAGAGCCGACATGCTTTTTCACTGGCCACACTGGGAAATTAAAAGGACTATAAATCTATTAGTGGGCTTTATGAGGCCCACCTTCTCCAACTCCTATAACGTTTCTACAATTTCCTTGTTAGTCCGAGGCAATTTATATGCTTAGTATTTGTCACCCACTGAGGTACAAGCAGAGCTACATGCTGAGCATGTCCCCTGAGAAGTGCCTTTAGCACACATACCCTCAGTCTGAACTCACCTGCAGTGGTCTGTAACCACAGGCCCTACAGGATGTCTACCCCCAAAATATATTCAAGGATTGGAGAAATGTACACAGTATACTTCTTTGGGGGTAAATGCCCTATTCCCAGTGTGATTTCGTCTTTCTTCACTCTAACTGCCTTATCCCCATAGCCATCTATCACAGCAGGCATCCCAAGAAAATGCTCCGGGTTGCCATAAATCAGAGAACATTCAGCTCCTGTGTCCATCAGTGCCAGGACACATTGTACGTTCACAGGGGACCAATGAATTACTAATTCTACATGTGGCCTCTGGTCCCCAACACTCCCCCAAAGTGGGGACCTTGATGCCTGTTCCCTCAGTCAAACTGCAATGCCCAGTCATGGTCCTGTGGAGGTAAGGGCTCAGGTGGACCCTGAGTACTGTCTTGCAGGAAGTCTTGCAGCAACACAGACTGGACATGGGGCTTAGCCTCCAGCTTCCATGTCCTGCACTTAAGTGGCTGGAACTGCTTCTCTGGCTCTAATTGGTGCCACAGTTCTAACAAGGCTCTGTTGGCTGCCTATCAAATTTTTCTTTCACTACCATCACCTTTGTCAAATCGACCCACATCTGGGTCCTTGAGATCTTCATGGGGCCCTTTGCACCTCTCCTTTCAGTCGTAGCCCATACTTCCTTCCATGCTCTTATTGTTTCAATCTCCTGCAGATCTGCTAACATACAAGAAGCCTCACTTATGGGTTGCCCTATGTTAGGGGCAAAACAGTCACTAGGGACTCAAAGACAGATGGGGAGCTGTATGCAGCACCAGCTTTCTCATTCCTATAGTGAACACCTCCTCATCAGGGCCCTGGAGGTCCATGCTATAGATGATATTTTTCATGCCCAATTCCCTTTAACACCTGCTGGAGCTCTGCAAACATTTTCCAGCTAGTGGGTAAGTGTGGTAAATCACCCTGATTAGGCCAAACTGCCCTGATGGCTGCTGTCAACCAACGCAGAAGCGCTTGATTCCATATGAGATGTGATGGGCACTTTGCAACTGCTGCTGGAGGGAAGGGTGAGTCAGAGAAGCCGGTGTACTCATTGAAGGACCCAACATAACTGTGTTTTCCACCCCCATATCCCAGAAACACGGAAGCCATGTAGGCAGAGGTTCTGACGGCTTCTGCCCATACTGGATGCTCATGTCTGCCAGCTCATCCTGGGTATAGGGGGGAGCATGGAGTGCTCCACAACCTGGGGAGAGGGCTGCTCCTTCCCCTGAGGAGCTCACAGTTGTTGTATTTCGTTTTCTTACAAAAGGGCAGGCCTTTAATACAGGAGATGCTGGTGCCTTAGGTGGTGGTCTTGGCAACAGATAGGCCCTTGGCCCCACCACCTCATCCTCTCCCAACATCTCCTCCACCATCTCTGAGGCTGTAGACACCACTCTTTCCTACCCCTCCCCATGGCTTCCTACAGTGCAGATCCCCCTGCTGCCCCCTCCCACTCCCTCTCTGCTAACATATATTCCAGTAGCAGGACCTGTCTTCTCAATAACTGCCTCTCTTTCTTAAGGGCATCCCATAGGTCATCACACAGCTCCTCTAAGCGATGCTGAAGTGTGTCGCTCTCCTTGATAACCCTTTCCACTATCTTGATAAACAGACATCCTACAATCCCAGCTACTACATGGCCACTCAGGGCCTCTAAGCAGTCTTCTATTTCACAGAGGACCAATTCACCAGCTTCCAGTGTCTCCATCCTTCCTCAGTTCTGGGGAAGGCCCCACCCCCTCTAAGAGGTGCTTAACCCTATACCAATTCCCCAATAGGGGCTCCCCAACTGGAAGCACCATGGATAGGGGCTCCTGGGTGAAGCTGCACCCTCCACCACTGCAGCCACTGGGGCCTCCCCACCATCCACAGATGGCATTCCAGGCACCTCGCCTCTGTCTCTAGGGGCAGCCCACCCAAGGGTTGCATCCATGAAGACAGATTTCGGTTTCAGAGTTCCTGCTGACTACTGCCAGATGTAACTCCGGGGAGAAAAGTCCCAGGGCAAAATACATTTGAAACCAAATTCAGCCGAAGGGAGAAATAAAGTGGGAGAAACCCATTTATTTCCTACAAGCAGTCATCCACTTCTGCACCCCCATCTCTTTCATTACCTAGGTGCAGGAAAATGGACCCCAGTCAACCTCTCCAGTCCAGAAATGCCCTGGCCTCATTTGCTCGCTGGCCCTTGTAATTACCTATTGACATGGAGATAGATTACTTTTCTCTACCCCTTAGAAACACTTATTGATATGGAGATGCACTAAGGCCAGGCAAGAGATTTTAGAAATGTTGCAATTTAACCCACAAGCCCTTTGTGTCTGTCTCCTGGACAAACTTCTGTTGGTTTTTAAAGCCAGACTTTTGGGGATCCATCCCTCCAGTACTGATCACATGGTTTGTGGTGCCTGATTTGGGGCTAGAACCCCTCATTCCTCAGGGAAATTCTTACTTGTGACATACCTCCCACTTGTGGCTCATCACGTTGGGAGTGGGGTTTTGTGGGGTTTGTGGGTTTTGTATTGCATCCTCCTGAAGTGGCTATCTATGCATCTCAGTGTGACCTTTTAATCTTTTGCTTTGGAGGAACTGTTCAGATCTTTTTCAGAGAGAATATTTTTATATGTAACTGTAGAGATTTGGTGTGTCTGTGAGAGGAGGTGGGTTCAGGGTCTTCCTACACCACACTCTTGAACCATCACCCTAAAGCTTTTTTTATAACTTCCCTATTTACATTGTTCAGATCCATTTAACTTGAGTATTTTGTCATTTAGTGTAATAACTCATCAATCTGTTAGTGCAACCTTTCTTTATGTTACTTTTCTTAGTACGTGAAATGTGCTATTTTGAATCCTTGAAATGTTATAAACCACCAGATTGCTAATTGCTTTGGATGCTGTGAAAAATAATTACTCCACATTATTTTTGATATTTAATTGACAGTGTAATTAATGCATTTAACTAAAGACCTGCAATAAACTATTTCTAATTACAGAGGGTAGTGGAGTGGAAAAGTAGGCTGTAAAACTTTACAAAGGAAACAATGTTTTCTCTATTATGTTAAAATTCATTGTTGATATAACTTTTTCGGGGACAAAAGTAAAATTACCCCAAATGGGACATTCTTGGTATTAGAAAGAGTTGTAGAATAATTTTACTCATGATACAGTAATATTTTTTAAATTACTATTTATGGATATATTGTACAAGTGATGGATGTCATATATTACCTCTACCATGCTTGCACTAGAATTTCTCCTTCTTCAGTTGGCAGAACTTTATGGGGTAGATAATCATGCCACTGCCAGAATGAATAATCTTTACCACTGGCCTGTATTCAATTTATTCTGCATCTGAAGGGCAGTCAGCTGAAAAGCTATGCCAAATTTTAGATGTCATTGAAATATGTAGATATATCAGGAACTGTGTCTGTTCTTAGTTCCCAAGGTAATAACTTCTTATTATAAACTGATCTCTGAAAATAACACTTGGAAACTGATACAAGGAATTCCCAGTCTCAATGCCTCATAAATTTGGGTGTAAAAGATGTTAGGTTCTTTGAAGACGTGTACTGTTTTCATTGCCCTGTGGCTCTGGGATAATATTAATAATTGGCATATTCTTTTTTTCCTCTCTATACCCCTGATTAGAAAAATATGTCTCCATTGGTATTTCATCAGATTGCTTATTTAATTTCAAATATGTACATTTTCCAAAAACAGATAACTAAAATGAGTGACCGGTTTCAGGGAATGTAAATTATTTTCAGAATTTCAGAAATTGAAAAGGGGATAAGAGGAAGGAGAAAATGCTGGGCTGGTGTGAAGCGATCGCCCGTGACCCCCGCAGAATCCCCAGCGACACGCCAACACCCGAAACCTCGGGGTGTGTGGCTGATGCCTCACAAAGCTCCACACTGGTGAGTGAAAAGTTATTTTTGCTCAAAATGGCCTGTATGTAAATGGAATGCTAGGGATAAGGGGAAAAAGAAGACTTTCTAAGTAAACATTATTCTTGTTTACAATGGTAGTTGCATTTGTATTACATTGTTCAGTTGAGTTAATGGATAATAATGAATGTCTTAATGTCATATCATACTAGAGTTTATTGCAGATTAAAAAATAATCTTTTTATTTCTTTGGACACTGCCTTTCCATTATTAGTGATCTTAAAGAGATATTTAAAGTTAATATATTTCATCCTGTACTTGTATAATGTAATTAATGGAGAAAAACTATAGAATTATCCAAACATAATTAAAAATCAGAATCATACTTTCTGTGTTTTTCTATATATATTCTAAAACTGTCTAGGAAAAGGATTAAGAATTATAATTTTTATATAAAATTGTGAATTACATTATTGCAAAAATGATATGAATAATGAATCAATAGTATACTTTAGTGTCTTTTTTTGGTTTAATTTAAATGCTCAGCTTGGGGTAGCCACTATTTCCCAATGATTAGGAATGAGAAATCATTTAAAAAAAAGAGTTTTATGCACCCTTTGTTAAGATTTTGACTGTAATATTCTTCATTTCAAAGAATGAAAATTACACTCAGTCTTTGAGTTTTATGTTGACATAGTAGATATATTTTAATTATTATTTTACCATTTTATAAAATGGTAAAGGCAACTGTTTTCATTAGCCCTTACTTTTAGTTGATGAATATATAATAAATATGAGCAAAGATTTTAGGTTGTTTTTACTTCTGAGTCTTTCAAAATATCTACTTTTTTACATAGAAATAATGATCCTGGGCAAATATTATTGTGTATAAAGAGAAACCATCTTGAAAGAATAGGCTTTCAGCTGACAAAACAGCAGTGGGAATCCTCCTTAAATTCATTACCTTAGACTGTGGGAAGACAGCTGAGGGTATGAAGAAATGTGTGCAACATGATTGGATAATGAAAGCTCGAGGGAATAGATTTTTTTGAAATCATCATCTGCAATGTTTTATTTCACTTTCACAAGCTCTTTTGTAAGTTGTTATTTTAAATAAAACTGCTTGGGATGAGTTAACATCATTTAAAACATACATGTTACACAGCATTTATGCATATAGCTGGACTTTGTTAGGTATCCTGCAAGAGCTAAATATTTTGAAATAAAAAATTATTTCTGTGATTTTATTAGAGTGGCCTTAGTGCTTAATTCCTATTTGATAGAACCATAAATCAAAACCATATGAAATCTTGAGCAAACATTTGGCCTTTCTCTTATAATTGGGTAACCTAATATTAGCTTTATTTTACAGATATGTACTATGGCCCAGAGAAATTAATTGACTTTCCCAGTGTCACTTAGCTAGTTAGTGATGGAAGGATTACTGGAGGCCAGGCTCCTTAAGGCGAATCTTCCCCTAGTGTGCCACACTGTCCCCACCTTCTTGAGGATGTTTTCTTCCCATTCCAGTACTTTCAGTAGAAAGAAAAATATATCAAGTTATCAACTAATTAAATCCAATAATTAATCTTTTAAATATAATGCTGTATTAGGAAGAGAACCTCTAGCCATTGTAATATAACTCAAACATCTCAGTTTCTTAGAACAGAAAGATAAACTTTTTCTTTCTTATGTCGTAGCCCGTATGTCTTGGGTAGCTCTCCCTGGAGATTCATTATCAAATGACGGTTCAAAGATAAGGGCTTCTTGCATCTTTTGATGTTGCCTTCTTAAACATACGGCCTCTTAGGTCACTGAGAGAATTGACGGGACTGTGTGGGCCATGGTGTGTGCGCAGTTATGGAGGAACCTGGAATGTGCAGGCATTCTTTTATTGGTCAAACACAGTCAGTCTTATTGCCCATCTGAACTGCAAGGGAGGCTGGTAAGTATCAGGAAGCTGTGTGGCCAGGAATAGCAGATGGAATCAGTGGGCATCTAGCCCATCTCTGCCACAGACCTCCTCTCTGGTTGTGAAATATTCACTTTCCATGAGAGCTCACTAAAAAGTCTTTCAGTCACTGAATTCAACTAGAGTCCATAATCTCTGGTTATTCAAATGATAATGGTGAATCACCCATGAAAGAATTACCTGCATTTTACAACTGGCTTCCAACATATGTATACACCTAATGTACAAGAAAGAAATAGGAAGGAGAGACCACAATAAACACTCATCCTTGGAGAGAGAAAGAGTTAAATACACGTGGAAATCAGAGGTGGAATCCTGCTGGGTGTACATAATAACATCTCTCTGACCTAGAAGTCAGAAAGGGGCTTTGAATACGCTCTGATCCTGCCCCCTGAGAGGTCTCCTTTATCCACCATGCTTTCTAGCCTCTGGATATGCCCTCTGAGAAGATCCTCCTTTTTTATTCTCCTTGTCCACATTTGAGGTGCCTACTGTGGGTTGTATAGCCTTAAAGTATTTTTTTTCCGATTTGGGGGAAATTATGGGATCTCTTGCTTGTTTTAAGCCTTAAATATTGCAAGGCTCATGTTCCTAGGGTCATGGTATTTTAGTACCTTTGAATCTTCACAGGGTTCTGATCTATTTCCTGGTGTGCCCAGGAAATTTCTTTTCTGGATGCTCTTCATTTCCTCTTCCCTCATGTCTCTCTCTCAAGATGGTACTATCTTGAAAATAGTACCCTTAAACAGACCTTTGTCTGGAGATACCTTGTTCAGCTCTGAAGTTTTATTCAGTATCAGCTCTAAATATCATATTTGCCTTGAGTCACATTACTCAAATGCAAAATTTTATTGGGTCTTTGTTACTCAACGCTTTAATCAATATCACGTCTTACCATTTGGGGTTTGCAAGAATCAGACATGTTGTCCAGTAAGCCCTGACACTTGTGGATTCTCTTTATTCCTGGTCAGATCTGCTTTCACACTAGTTAATTAGTTCCTGAGCACATGATTCTTTTGTTAACACCTTGCTGAATGTAGCCAATACTAGTCAACTAATATTATTGTTTTGTTTTTCAATCTATTTTGAAAACCTATTTTCAGCCCAGATATTCCATTTTTTGCCAAGATTTTCCTTGCTACCCACTACCCAGTAATTAAGCAAATGCCATGTATTTTAGATCTTTGCTATGGTAGCATAAGCTTTGGCTACCAATTTCTGTGTTTGGAGAGTTATAAAAGTTGGGATACAGTCAGGACTTTTTCTGGGACTTGTTCTGGAAACAGAAACAAGAAATTTTAACAGAGAATATAATATGAAAAAGTATTGAATCTGTTCTTGGAAGACAGGAAAAATTTTAAAGGTAAGCAAGTTTATTAAACACAATAAGTAACAATCTCCCTGCGGAGCAGGCTGGTGTTCAAACAAAAAGGCTAATGGAGCTTCTGTATAGCAAAGGACACCATCAGTAGAACAAAAAGGTACCCTACAGTTTTGGAGAATATATGTATAAATGACATATCCAATAACGGGTTGACATCCAAAATATATAAAGAACTCACATGCCTTAACAACCAAAAAGAAAATAATCTGATTAAGGAATGGGCAGAGGATCTGAACAGACACTTCTCCAAAGAAGAAATTCAGATGGCCAATAGGCACATGAAAAGATGCTCCATATTGCTACTCATCAAAGAAATGCAAATTAAAACTACAGTGAGATATCACCTCATGCGGGTTAGGATGGCCACCATCCAAAAGACAAACAACAAATGCTGGTGAGGATGTGGAGAAAGGGAAACCCTCCTACACTGCTGGAGGAAATGTAAATTAGTTCAACCATTGAGGAAAGCAGTATAGAGGTTCCTCAAAAAACTCAAAATAGAAATACCATTTGACCCAGGAATTCCACTCCTAAGAATTTACCCTAAGAATGCAGGAACCCAGTCTCAAAAAGACTTATGTACCCCTATGTTTATTGCAGCACTGTTTACAATAGCCAAGATATGGAAGCAACCTAAGTGTCCATCAGTAGATGAATGGATAAAGAAGATGTGGTACATATACACAAAGGAATATTATTCAGCCGTAAGAAAGAAACAAATCCTACCATTTGCAACAATATGGATGGAGCTAGAGGGTGTTTATGCTCAGTGAAATAACCCAGGTGGAGAAAGACAAGTACCAAATGATTTCCCTCATTTGTGGAGTATAACAATGAAGCAAAACTGAAGGAACAAAACAGCAACAGACTCACAGACTCCAAGAAGGGACTAGAGATTACCAAAGAGGAGGGGCATGGATTGAGGAGTACCATGATTGGCACACATGGTGTGGGGGATCATGGGGAAGACAGTGTAGCACAGAGAAGACAAGTAGTGACTCTCTGGCATCTTACTACACTGATGGACAGTGACTGCAATGGGGTATGGGGGGGGACATGATAATATGGGTGAATGTAGTAATCACATTGTTTTTTCATGAGAAACCTTCATAAGACTGTATATCAATAATACCTTAATAAAAAAAAATCTAAACCTATTGACTTACTTTCAACGGACTTACCTTAATTTTTTTTAGTCTCAGCAAGTAGGCCAAGTTGTTTATTTTGCAATGGCTTTTATGCATTCTGAAAATAAGTTATGTCAGGGCAGGTAGAGTTGGCAAGGTTTTTTTTTTAACCTCATTTTTTCCCTCCTTTTAATTATTTATTTGATCATTTATCAGTTACTTTTAATCTCTATTACAAAGCCTTTCCTAAGTACTGCCAAAGACAATGGTGAATGAAAACTATTAGAGTAACTGTATTTATTATTAGAGTAACTTTATTAGAGTAACTGTAAAAAGATAGAAGATGTCTTCATCAAAGTATAGAAGGGAAGGTATCATTTATCAAAATGAGGGAAATTAAGTACATTATGCCTATCAAGAGCTTTGATTTTTGTTAGAAGTAAAATGATTAAAAAATATACCCCAATGGTTGTTATGGAAACAGATTGAATTAAAGAATGTAAAAGGGGAGACTGGTGCTTCAAACATCACACCATGAATAAAAATT